CAACCTAATAGAAAATGATAGTGCTCAACAGCTTTTCTTTTAAACAACTAATAAAGTTTAATACATAATCAGATCCCACTACGGAATTCTACAAGTGTTAAAAATAACCCAACAGGAAGCATAAAAGCACTTATTAAATTCTACAAGTATTTACAGTAATTTCTGCATATGACTCTATTAAATTTCCATGGCACGCTCATTTCGACCAAATCCCACAGAATTTTTCCTAAACGGTCAGCTCTTTTCCAGTTTCGATGAGCAAAGGAACAAACCAGCCTGCTTCTTATCTGAGATCTGGTTAGATCAACACCACTGGCTGCAGAACACAGCACCAGGCTCTCAGCTGGTGAAATTCAGCATAAATCTGTTGCCTTCAAACCCAGGCTCAGGGACTCCAGCTCCTCCTCTGCCTACTGCTCACCTGAGTATAAATCCATCTGCTTTTGGCTCCTGGTCTCCACTTAGTCAATGTGCAAAGCTATTGTTTTGAAATCGGGCATATTTTAGTAGCTGTGATATTAGCTGCCTTAGTCCATAAATGATGGGAGGGGTTCCTGAGCTGTTATTCCCTCTAACGTTTTCTGCTGGATGTGGATGGGATGGCCAAGGGCTGAGGTCATTGACGCTTTGTGTTTAGCGGGAGAAGGGGAATTTTTGGCTCTTTCCAGCAGGATCGTCTCCCAGTGACTGTCAGGGTTATGCAACTGGATGTCTCCATGGTGCCTGGGAAGCCTCAGCCCATCCCTGCTAGAGATGCTCTGCTCTGCAATAGACTGTATTTCAAAGAATGACATTTGCCGACTTCCCAGACACAAAGGCACAATCATTTCCATTACAGAGCTTGTCTCATCACCCCAGGTTGGGCTGGCCCTGAGGAGCTGCTGTCTAGAGACCAGGCCAAGGGGCTGTGAGGATGGGTAACGCTCTGTGCAGTCGGTTGCCAAAAATACTTCTGGGAACAAAGACACTCCTTGAGTTTTCTGCAACTGAAGTAAATCTTGGACAAAGAACCCAGAGGGAGCTGTTGGCACACATCACGCAGCCATCAGACAGGAATCCTGCTCCCACATCAGCCGGCTTCTTGACAGGCAGGAGTTTAGAAACCATTTAGCACATGAAAGCTGGTAAATACGTGCGTATATCTATGTATATGAGAGACTTATGATTAAGGAAACTGGCATATTTTGCAAAGCTGAAAATGTGTCGCTCAGCCGTAATTGCTAAACTGAGCCATCAAAATGATTGCTTTCAAGGCTGTGATAGAAGCCTTCAATGAAGGCTCTTAGACGGACTTGTAGCCACAGTTGTGGTTTTAATAGGGTGGTTCTGGCTAGCAGTTGAATAGATGCAACTGCACGGAAGGGGTGAATGGCAGCGCATCCTTTTGAAAGCTTCACTCAGTAACACACTATCCTTACAGACTGCAAACTTCCCAAGAGACTGAGGATGCCTTTTGGATACTGCAATGCAAACAGATGCTCCCCTGCAATTAAGCCTGGAGGAGCTGCATGTTTGCATTGATTTTGCACTTGCTGGTAGAATTCCTCCAAATTACTCCCAGGCAGTAACTCCACTGCTTTGGGAGCACAGAGCTGGAGCAGGAAATGCTTTCAGCACAGTTGCTTATTATTTTGTTAGCATCCTTGGGCCAGGCTGCCTGCCCACAGCTTCTCTGTGCTGTGAACCACCAGCGTGAGCGATGCCACTTGAATACCACTGAGCTGAGACATAAACTCGCTAAGCTAAACACAGAGCAGGGATCAAAGGCACCAGGGGGGGAATCTGCTGTCATCATTTGTGTATCTTCAGCAACTGGTGAATGATCAGTGAAGGGGATGGGTGTTCGGGGAATTGCAGCAGAGATTACAAGGAAGCTTTGACTTCCAGTGTTGTATTGACTTGCCCATTAAATGCTTGATGGACTTTGGTTTTCTCAGATGAGTTTTCTGCTTGGCACTTCCTCTTCCCTCTAAGTGCGTGTTACACAACTCTGCTTGGCTTGCATCTGGCCTTGGCTTTGCTACAGGAAAAGCTTCATATCAGCAGGCCAGGTATATAATAAGGTGTATTCTCCTGGAGTTATTTATGAACTAAGAACACATCCCTTGGCAAGGGACTCTGCCTCATCTCAGACACTATTCCTTCAAAAGCAGCTTCCTGATTTTCCAGATGCGACTTGTGCCTCTAAAACTTTGGATTCTTCTAAAACTTGGGATTTCTGCTCCCAAGTGCCTGGTTCAGAGGTCAGACCGCAGAGGATGGAGGCAAGCACAGGCATTTGGAGCAGGGGTGTCACCTCCTCCCAGCACTCCATCTCCACAAGCCCTTTACCATCATTTTGCCATCCCACACATCATACAACAGGCTATGAAACCCTCGGAGAGCACTTCCACCAACGCACAGGAAGAGTTGTGTAGCAAATGAAAGCGATAGCTTGTGTTTTGATTTTGTACTCCATAAAAGTCCATTCCATCTTGGAAAGAGAAACAAAGAAGTGGGGAATCCAACTGTATCCCTTGGAAATCAGCCAATAGACTCCAGAGGAGGATCAAATCTCTATAATGCAATAAAGCAGACAAATGAAAAAGGATTCTGCAATCAAGGTACAGTCCAAATTTCCTCCATGTCAATGGCAAGTCACTGGCCTCTAGTCAAAAGTATGCCTTGGGCTGACCGAAGAAGTAATGCACAGGATCAGATGCTGAGCAGTTTTGGAAAGACTGTACAGAAGGAGAATAAAGGGCTAAACTGATAATCCTATCAGGAAAATACAACTTAATCTGGAGCTACATATGAAAGGTTGAATCCAAATCATAGCAAATTCACCTCTATCTGCTCGTGGCGCTGACAGCAGAATTGGCTGCCCAACGTTTTGTGCCTAATTACCTGCGTTACAGCGAAGTACACAGCTTTTCTTAGAAGAGAACTTTTCTGTCCTTCTGAAAGTTTAATCCCCATAAGAGGATTTCCATCCTGTCCTTGGCAGAGTCAGGAATCAGGATTTTCACATCGCTTTCAGCAGAAAAAGGAACTATGTATTCGCATCTGCACGCTGGTGCTTAGCAGGAGCTCCTTGCACAAAGCTCCTCGGAGTCAGCAGGAACCCAAGCCAAGCTTCACTCCAGTTTAGTGCCCTTTCTTTTCATTGTTTCCCATTCTTTGCTTTTGTCTCTGTTTCTCCTAGAGACTCCCCATGGCTTGTTAATGGCACATTGCTGGGAATTAAACCTTTTGGATGCTGAATTAGAATAAACTCCACTCACCCTGAGCTAAGGGCATCACTAAGGGCTGCAGCCAGGCTGCCAGCAGGGCACTAGAGGAGCAGCCCAGCAGCATCCTGAGCCATGGCAATGAGCTCAAGATGTCCAAGTAACATGGTTGGACATCAAAAGATGCTCAAAAAGAGCACCCATGTCCTGGAAGGAGCAGCCCCACTAAGCCTGGCTTGAAGTTTCATCATATGTATGAGGAACATAACTAAAAGCACAGACGCTTATCTAACTGAGCCTGAAAGCACCCACAGCAAATAAAAAAGCCATTCATTCACACATCTTTGCTGTCACTGAAGGAAGCTCACTAACCATCCACAGCAAATAGAGATCTTTTACAGGAATGAGGATGCCACCTCCGGATTAACTCTTTTTCCCAAGGATACACATCTCTATTCAGTGCGATTCCCAGTCTGGAACCTGACCCAACTCTATCAGACACACACAAATCAATGGGATAAATCCGCTGGACCAATTAGTTGCCTCGAGCTGCCACAGCAAAGCACAATACACTGATGAGGCTGTGATGAGCCTGCGTTAACCAGTGGTATTCGTTAAGCTGCCGGCCTCACTGATGTAAAGTGCCATGTAGTAAGACATTAAACTCCTCACTGCCTCTGCTGTGAGGTCATCAGGCAGCAAATAATCATGGGGGGACAAAACCAGCAGCTCACAGTTGGAGGTACTTGGTTTTTATGTGCTTTAAAGGGACTCTGCTCTTTAAAGGGACTCTCTGACATCTTCATAAGAGGAGCTCCCCCCAAACCAGCCAAGAGCCCCATTTCCAGCAGAGGTGAAGGTGCTGGGCACCCCACCATGGATACAGCTGGAGGACAGTGATGGATGCTTCCTAAAGGGTGAGTGGGAACAAGCTGGCCCTGAGCTGCTCATCTGCCACATCACTTTCCCATTCAGCAGTAAAAGGTATAAAGAAGTTGTATGGGGGAAACAGTAGGTATAAAGACAGCAGAAAGATATAAAAGTGCAAGACTCATGCCTGATACAACAGAACACGATGTACTGTGAGCCCTGACTGTCCTCTTCAGCTTTCAAACTCCTCTGGGGCACCGGATCTGTCTTTAAAGCTGTTTGCAAAGCATCTGCTGCCCTGACAGTGCTGTATGTAGCGAGGAAAGGCAAACACAAACCAGGCTTGAGCCACTCCGGGGTTTGAAACTGCCCAGTAAAAACAAGGTGAAGCACCACTCAGCTCTCCATTTAACAGAACCAGTTCTTGGAAACGAATGAAGGGAAATAAAGTGCATGTTCATTTGTGCGGTGCAGAACAGGGAGGCTTTGTGAGAGGAAAGCATTCAAATCCAGGCCTTCATAAGAGCAGCTATGAAGTTACCTCCTTACTGTGGGGCTCTGTACATCTGCAAGGTGCTGTTGGTTGCCATAGCAGGGCCACATCCCATCCTGGGACACTGGGAAGAGCCACTGGCGGGCTGCAGGGACTGTACCTGCAGGATAAGCTTTAAAGCAACACAAGCAGCACAGTGGCTGCACATCACCCAGACCCCAAGCACTGCATCAGTGCTGGGCTTTAGCAGAATGCACCCCATAAAGGGGGTCTGCCACACATGCTCAGCACAAATCCCTGCGTGGGAGAAACAGCTCCTGGCAGTGCTGGAATGGGACAATGCTCCAACCACACCAAGCAGGGCAGAGCCAGCCTCTCCTTGCTCCCAAACTGCCCTCAACTCCTGTAATTGCCTGCAAGTTGCTTACCTTAAGGAGAGAGCAGCACAGCACATGAGTCCTCCAGTCAGGGACCTGTAGGCCTTATAATAAAAGCTTTTTATAAAGGCTATATCTACTCAAACTTCCGTTATCACCCCATCGCAGCACTGCTAAATGCCTCCTATCTCCTGAACCAGTCTGGCCTTCTTTAAACTACTGAGTCCAAGCAACAAGTGCAACAAGCACAGAATAAACCTTCTCCACTGAAGAAGCCTTCACCCTTTTGTGCTGTATTTATGAAGTGGCTGTGATCCTTCACGAAACAGCAAGGAGCTCTCTGCACACTGGAACCACAACGCATCTTGCTTAGCACATATGTAGTTTGTTAATGGAGTAATGTAAGCATGATTGGCTGCAGATGTGGCAGCAGGCTCAAGCACTGGGTCTGCATCAGAATTCCTTTAAGGTTGCTAATATAGGAAACTGATTAATTAGCCTGCAAAGCATCTGACTTCCAGCTTTTGTGGCAGTATCTGGTGGAATATGCAGTCACTTGACAGTGAGGAGGGGAAGCAGCATGTGAGATGCCATGCATACCGCAGTGAGCAGATTGGGTTCTTTGACCAGCAAAATAAACATTTCAGGTCTGATCGGAAAACATCTTGTTTGGAGATCACTGCAGGGTAATTCCATGCAGGAAAAGCAGAAAACACAGCTGCCACCTCCTCGCTCCACTGCTCACAACAACAGTTTAGGGGTTGGAAGGGGCAAAATGGGCAGGTTTGGGAGTAATTTGGCAAGTCTGAGGTGGGGTGTGCAGCACCAGGAACTGGAGCCAGGTTCTCAGTCATGCTCAGCCTCCTGCTCTTCCTCACTTGTGGAAAAAGAGATCAACCGTCCAAATCCTTGTGTTTGCACCAGTGCAGTGGGAGAGCATCCTGGCCTTCAGCAGTGTTGCCGGGAAGGGGCTTGGCCTGCAGCCTGCCTCCTGCAAAATGGCATTATCGGAGGGTTTCTGCCTGCAGGGCAAGGCAGCAGCTTGTTTCAATAAAGCTATTTGCTCAGAGGAAGCTTATTAATCCTCACTGAGTGCTGGAGCAGTGCAGACATGGAATGACGAAGGAGTTTAAACGCTGGGGAAATGCAGTCAACCTGTAAACAGGAAGTGAAAAGAAAATTCCGAAATCCCAAGGCATGTCCTGCCCTTAATCACCCACCACAGCCTCAGCTGCCATCACTCTGCTGCACTTTCCTCACCAGAGCCAACCAAGGCTTTCCTGGCTTGTCCTTAGTACAGCCCCTGGTAGCAGGTAAACTCTGGTAGCTCCATCAGCATCAGCATCAGCATCACCGCTGGCACAACATCTTTAATCCCCACCCCAGTGCCATATTACACTTGCTTTTGTGCTATCACTCTGTAGTTGTTCAGCTTGTGGTGGTTTCCTACCAGGCTGTGCAAATGCCTGGAGGAAATCATGGCACTTAACACTTGAATAAGCCACTGCTTCCTGCCAGTGCCACCATGGTGGGGATGGATCCCATCCTGCACATAGGGGGTTTTGCTCCCAGAAAGCTTTTCTCTAGCCTTGGGCATTGTGGGGCATGGCAGTGACTGCTCATGCCCTCTGCTGGTTGGATTCCTGGGATTTTGAGGGGTTTTGTGCAATGATCTGTTTTAGGAATACAGGCATTTAATTCGGCCCTGCAAAGGGCTGGGGCTGTGGAAGAGTTGGGAGCCCTCCTGAAGGAAAGGTGCAAGACAGGCTTATAATATTTATAGCAGGTTTGGACATACAGCATTCCATCTCTCCAGGGAGAGTGGGAGAGGGCAGGGAAGGAATCCAGCTAGGCGCAGCCATAGACCAGCACAGCAGGACAGCATGTAGGATGTGATGGTGATCATATGTTAGCAATGCCCAAGTGCCAAACTCAGAGCAGGAGCATGGGATTGAATTAAAAGGGTTTGTGCTGCATTTATCTGAACCTATCGTGCAAAACATGGGAGCTTGATCCCATGGGATGCTGCAGTTCCAAGACCTTGAGGGTGGAAAGCTGTGCTAGTTCTGTGTATTGTGGTGAGCAACAGGAAAAGCCTGGACATGGAGCGGGGAAAGAAACCTCTGTGCAGACATCTTATTGCAGCAAATCCCCAAACTGCTTGGGCATCTCCCACCAACCCTATCAGGAAGGACAGCCAGTGTTAGCTCCTTGGGCAAGCTCAAACCTCTGTGTTTGCACTCATATAACCCCCTCCATGGAAATCATGACCTGAAATGAGCAGGCATTTGTGTAGCTATTGAAACAGAGTGGAGAACAGTGATTTGTCCAAGGTCTTCAGAGGTGGTTGCCAAACCATGACTTGATCTCACAGCCCCCACATGGGACCTTCCACTGGATCGGGCACCGTGTCTCTTGTGAGCACTTTGCTTTGACTAAACCCAAGCGGGTGTTGCTGGAACAAGCCCCAGGGACACGTTTTTGGGCAGGCTTAGGGTGGCAGTAGCAGGGACGGAGCCAAGGGGCTGACTCATGGTGCTGAGCCCCTGCCAGCACCGCCGGCTCCCGCTGGCTGCAGCGCTGAGAGAGTTCTCGGTGTTTCTCCCTCTTCCCTTTCGGCACAGGAATCGTTACTCATTCCGCACACAATGCCAGGTACGTTTTATTGTGGAACGGGCAATGACACGGAGCGGCTAGGCATGGGAAGGCAACCGCTTGAAACGGTGCATTTCCTACATGACTTCAAATTGTAACAATCCCAGATATTAAGATTTTGGCACCGGGAACAGTTCGGGGGATAATTATGTGCTATGATCTAATTTTTGGGATCTGCGCTTATTGCCAAATCTCTACGGCTTTCCTGTCTCCCTCGAGAGCAGTCCAAGCTGCAGGTTCCTTTTAACTCTCACATCCCCAAGCCTGTCCTGACTTTTTTCCTCTTTCTTTTCCCATCTTTCTCTTGAGACTTTTGGGAAAGCCTCTATCCAAACCTGGAAGAAATCAGGCTCTTCTTCTAATGTCCTTATCACTGTAGTTCATGGGAAAGGAAAGTAAATTAGGATAAAGTTGGCATCTTCTGGATTTTGGGCAATTTTGATTCCAAAAGCTGATGCTCCTGCAGATGTAATAACTGATGCCAGTGTCAGGGTCTTATGGATGTACACACAGAAAAGCCCACCTAGAACTTTATCATTAATGACTGAAGAGCCGTTTTCCTATGCCTTTGTCAGAAAAGAACAAACATGCAAGTCAGGAGAAGTGCAGCATCCCAGAAGCAATGTCCCCTGTGAATGAAGCCCTTGTAAAGGGTCTCTATACATGTGGAGAAGTGGGGTCTTAGAGGGACAACGAAGCTTCACTGTTCTATGTGCTGCTTTGGACTCCTGATGCCACCACACTTCCTTTTAGTCCCAGATCCCCCAAGCTGAGGCATGTTCAGCTTCACTCCGATCCCTAACAGTGGCTGCTGCCTTCACACTCATTTTGCTCTGTGTAAGCAACCCAGCAAACACAAAGCACAAGGGAAATACCTCTTTGTATCCCTGCAACGTGCAGCAACGTCCCTTTCAGGCTGTGCTCACGTTCGTGCTTTTGCAGCTGAAATTGCCCTGGATATTCTCTGTGCTGTGATTCACTCCTTCGCACCAAACTGAACGCGCCTGAAAGGCTGTTTCGCTTTCTATGCCCAATGTGAGGCTTTGTGTATACCCGCAGCAGTGAACCCCAGCAGCCAAGTGGCAAGCAGTGGAGGACACAGTTTTAAGCTGTGTGTGATGTCTTTAGGAGCAGTCAGTGACAATGGGGCAGCACTACACAGAGACCCTGAGAAGGTGCATACCTGAGCCCCCAGGACATCAAAGTGGGTACAGCTTGTGTTTGTGGGTTTCCTCCTGGTATTCAGTAAGGGCATTGCTGTAATATCCTCCCTCCTGTTTCAGTTTATAACCTATAATGTGACCACGTTTTGGGCATCACTGAAGCTCATTATGTTGGTTGTTACAAAGCTGATTGTTGTGTCTACAGGAATCAGAAGTGATTTGTAAACCATCCATAAGCAAACAAGAGCCTTAAAGGCATGGATGTCTCTAGGTACTCTGTGGGCCATTCACTAGAAGATTCAAACCTACAGAGCTGGCAGGTCTGCCTTATTTCATGGAATCATTGAATCATGGAACAGTTTGGGTTGGAAAGGACCTTAAAGCTCACCCAGTTGCAACCCTTTGTGAGGGGCAGGGGCACCTTCTACTCGATCAGGCAAAAAGGCAGGGTAAAGACCACAATTCTAATGTGGGGTTTGACATGGGGCATTTCAATGTGGGGAGGCTTTGCTTCATTCTATCTAAAAAGTGTTCCGCTTCTAGCAGCAACAGCCCCTTTACAGGTCCCCCCATCCCTGCATGGTTGAGCAGAACATTTCCGAGCTCCATCAGCAGCTTCAGACCTTGCTCTGGGGCACTGGGGGACGCACAGGCTAAGTACAACAGCCCTGAGAGCGCGCCTGCCTGCGCTGCCCAAGCTTGCTTCAGTAAATTCATCCTCATTTCCTGACAGAACAAACCACCCCCCTCAGGCTGCTTCTAGAGAAGAAAAAAAGAAATCAATCAAATACTAACCCTATGTTAAAATAAACAACACACAGCGAAAAGCTGTTTTCCCTTGTTTTCCTCCGTAGGAAGTCAGCAGCCTCGACGGGGCTTTGATGTGGGGATACACATTTGATGTCAGCAGTGCTGACAGACAGGCCTCAAAAGGCTCCGGAGGAGGGTTTGAGTTCACACAAACACTCCCACGTTCATGTATGTCTGTGCAAGGGCATCCCAATTGCCTGAGCCTGCAAAACCCAGACCCTGCACTTCATGGGGATGGGGTCCCGCAGGCTTCTGCATGAGATCCCAACACAAAACCTGATGTGCATGGGTTATTCCATTTCCCTTTGGTTCCTGTTCTGGCTAAAGATTAAAACACAAAGTGCTGACAACAGAAGAGAAGCCCCCCTTCCCCTCCAAGGCATGGGAGATGCTCTGATTTTGCAGAGGTTTGATCTGCACCTCTGTGAAGACTCAGGTGAATGTAAAAGCCCAGGAGCCTACATGGGCTTTTTAAAACGTGAGATCTCCTGAGCAAAGAGCCAAGAAACATCCCACAGTCATCTACAGAGATGTTCAAAGCAGGAGAAAAAAGCTCTGGCTTTCTTCTTTACTGAATGCTTGAGGCTGCACAAACCCTGGGGTTTGCTTATCATGATGCCACCATAATAAGCATAATATTATGCTCAATAGTATATAATAATTACTATATTACTGCATAATAAGGTGCTACCCTCTCCTCAGCTCTGCTGAAAAGCCTTTTCTAAGTATCTTCCATCTAAAGC